GATATATTAAACATACATAACCATATGTATTCAATATCCCTATTTAATTTATACGGAGAGGCATTCTTCTTAACCGATGCACAAGCATTTTCAATGACAATGGTAATAACAATGGTTTCTAATACGATTATATATCAAATCATTAGATGAGAAATAATTATCCATCATCGTACGATTATGATAATCTTGTGGTATCGACGATAAATGATATCGATTAATCCGATTTTCGCATAAGGTAGACAATTTTTGAGATAATGGCGTCGACTTTGTCACTCTAAGCATTCCACAAGTTATATAAAATATTATGGTATTCGAAAGCTTAGCCCCACAATCTTAAAATTGGCCATTCGAACAAATAAAGCTAACTGTGCCGGAGGGGTAGGGACGAAAAGAAATTTGAACTTTTATTAATTCTCCCAGATCAATGAAAGCGCAACGGCATTTCTTCAACGGGAATATTGTTTTGCAGAGTCGCGCGAGGCATCTCGGCACCCGTAAATCACGGCGACTCGAAGTCAATGGAGAGAAAATCATCAGAACATAACGACAGACGGATCGAGTCGCGGAAAAATGAATAAATGAGCGGTGGTCGCGTAACATAAAAACCTCGCAAGCCAATTCCCCATAATACATTGATCTAAGGGCTTTAAAGATATGACAGGCATAACGCGCAAAGTGTATAAGAGCGTAAAGCGCTCACTCCCCCGGACCCGATTTATTTGGCAATCTCGAAAGTCGTCTGCACCCTTCTACCTAGGGAAAAAAAGACAGTACGCGCACGGCTTATCTGGCAGGAGCGACGCTCGATTCTTACGGCGATGGCGGCACGGGTGGGGAGAGCGGCTGCAACGGGATGGCGTAGGGTGGAGAGGAGCCGTGCTTTTATGCTGGTGATGAGTCGGCGGCCGGGGGGTGGGATGGTCCACGAGTACTACCCTCGGCTGCGGTCGATGCGAATCGCTGTTGGAAGTAAATATTGCTGCGAGCCGACCCAAGAATCCTGTAAATTAACGCTTTTAATATGAAAGAAGATGAAGGAGTGCCGCTCTTAACTCTACAACGCTCTACTTTCTCCTTCGTCTCTCGTTTTACCATAGAATATGCCCGAGAAATAATATTAATTTGAAATGAAAACAAAATTAGGCGCAATAAGTTCAAAGTACGTATCGATTGTATATGGCATTGGGCTCGCTACTTTAGCCATTACTTTACTCATTCGAAATTAGTGAAAAAAGTTTTAGTTTCGGCATGTACGGAATAAGGGACGCAGCGGGACAATTAATTATTTGATTAAATAGGGATCGTAAACTTTTTCTTATCCAACCCTTGAAACTCTCCAAGTAATCTACTTTCACAAAGGCTTACATTTGTCGCTAAATGACATCATTCCTTAGTAAGTAATATTCCTTAATTTTTATATTCCCCCTTCCCCTGTCTAAGCAATTTTTAATCGTAAACTCATAAATTCGACAATACTTTTAAAGCCTTTATTTTTTAATCCTTATGGGAAAACGATCGACCATCAAATTGATGCGTTTAAGTAATTATTGCGCTTTAATCACACTACATTTATATGTCGTTATCGCTACGTTCATAATGAAATGAATGGTAAATACAAAAATTCACTATTAAACTATTGTCTATCTACGTCGGCTATGTTGAAATTTACAAAAATTAAATGCACTAATTGGTGTAAGTAGCGAGCATTTCTCACACAACCGTTAAACATTATCGATCCTACTAATACTAATTTTAATACGGATTTAGCATTTTCTTCCAGTATTTCTTACTCAACACGAGCATTTAACGACTAATGCCTGGTCCCTTCATATCTGTATATATTCTATTTTATAATTCAAAACTCTTCGACCACACTTACACATTTTAGTGGATAAGAATTTGAATTTAAAACATATTTTCATAAATTTGTTGAAAATTTTTTCCTCGTCTCTCAGTCGACCCTTATACGCCTAATTATATTCTACTATACATAAATCTAATGAATTCACTTGGCTTTTAAAGAATTTTTAAATGCTAACTAGAAAGTGACGTTTTTCTTTTTTTTTTCTTTTTTTTTTCCCCTATCAACGCTTATCCACTACAAATGACATTTGAATTGGTGACCAAACAAAATAAAATCAACGAATCTCGATCGTGATTTACTGAGGATTTCTTGAATACGTCAGGGCCACCGTTTCTATCACCTAACACTATATTTGTCTATGCCTATGTCTATGTGAGCAATCGTGTAATAATGAATTTCCTTCCTTACTGAAAAATAGAAGAAAAAAAAAGCTTAAGAGAATGTGCTATGATCGTGCGACAGTTAATGATGAGACTCGGTGACAAATTAACATAAATTTCCGTCGCAACGGTTGTATTGTAGCGAATACACTTAAATGCATAAAATATTATATTCCATGACGATTGTGTGTGTAGGCGTTATAAGTATCTTGCAATTGAGGTATAATAATGTGATTAATAATAGTAACGGTCTGTCGCGGAATGGAAGTTAGCAGCGCGAGACGAACGAGAATGAAACGACGAGAGAATCGTCCTTGAAAGGGCTGACGGATCTTATAAAGCTCGCGCGTTAGAGATTGCCATTTATAAATTGTAGAAGGCCTTTGCAGCCGAAGCGGCAAATTTTCAACAACTCAAATGAATATTATCACTCCGGGTAGGAACTTTCTCCTGCCTGTAGGTGTGCGCGTGCATGTGTCTCTATTTGTCAGGCAGCAAGTCAAACGAACAGAAATTGTGAATGCTGGTTGTTCTTGAAACGAGACCTCCAAGAGCCCCCATCTCGCGTCACCGGCTTTTCCTGCTTTTGAGCTTCAATGCAGAGGCAAAAGAGACTCCATAAGGCACAGCCGTGCCAAAAGAAGAACAGGGACAAGCAGTCGTGACTCGGTATATATTGGGAGGCGCAGCGCAGCGCAGCACTCGTCCCGGTATTTGCAGAAAAAGAAAGAAATCGGATATCGGCTCATCCATTATTTCAGCGTACGACAAAGAGTGAGTGAGAGAGAACGGTGGGGCTAGTTGGATGGAGTGGGGGAGTGGGGAGTGGGCGAGGGGGGGGGGGGGGGGGGGGGGGGGGGGGGGGGGGGGGGGGGGGGGGGGGGGGAGAGGACAAGGAGAGATCGCTAGATCGGGGTATTAGGCGTATATAGAGCGGCAAAGAACAACGAGGTGGTGACACTCGAGGTGCACGTGTGCCTCGGCGTAATATTGGAGTGGCGCGCGCCCGGGCTCGACACTCCGGCCACTGAGCCGTGCGAGTCATTCGCGCTCCTTCTTCGGATATTAAAGTTTCAAGTGAGTGGCCCGCTACTGACTCAGCAAGTGTCATTAATAACTCGCTCGTGAGGAGACGAGAGAGAAAGAGAGAAAAGCCACCCACCGTCGCCGTCGCCGTCGCCGCCCCCGCCGCCACCGCTACCACCACCGCCACCGCCACCGCCACCGCCACCGCCACCGCCGTCCCAAGTACTAAACACCTTTTTAGCTCGGTGTCCGGACAAACTCGCATAAATCATTATGCGTGCACTGATAGACTGTTAAAAGTCCTCTTATCTGTCGTATTTTAAGCTTTTATACGAGATTTAGAAAAGGAAAAGATGAAAGCTTGGCGCTAATATGACAGCTGAGCTTCCTGTCTGATGCACGAAGGGGCATTATTATCGATAGCTTAAGCGAGCTTTTATCAGCAGTTGATTGGAACAAGCAGTTAGCGCTAATGTAATAACGATTTATTAAAGATTAATAAAGTAAATCGACACTACGAGATTAATCATTTTAATCATGTGGATGGGACTGGTTGTCGCATTACCGTCAATGACGAATACTCGAACCAAGTATTCTTTACCGTATACTTTAGCATACTGTAATACTGTACGTTTCTAATAAAAAAAAATTCATTTTATTAAACACATGAGAAATCACATTATTAATTTATGATATAATATAATGATACGTGAAATTTTTAATAAAATATGAGGAGAAAAGATTTTTGTACGAGTTGGAATCTCCTTTTTCAACATACTTTCTAAGATATACGTAAAGTGGGTAGAAATTCAACTAATCGTTAAAAATAATATGACAAACTCTTTTATTCTCTAATGTTATTTGCGTACATATGCAAGGAAAATAATAAAAACTTTGTGTAATAATTGAAAACTAAATTTGTTCAACGCATTGTAATTATGATCCATCTTGTGCCAAAAAATACTGTGATTTATTTTCTAATCGATTGTAATTTACTGGGAAATAACAAAAAAAAAAAATCAAAATTCAATCAAGATTCAATCAAGATACGATCACGAAGAAATAACGATTTTCTTCTATTTTTTTTTTTTTTCAATTTAATTGGCGTGATAATAAGTTCTAGGTAAATTTACCCTGAGATTTATAGAGAAATTTTGATTTCCGACATACATTGAAGGCATTTTGAAAATGAAAACCTGCTTTCTCGACATAATTAAACGACTTCGTTATTATAGAATGAATAGATAATATTACAAATAAAATCTAACTTACATTGATTACAAAATCTATATGGAAAAATTTAAATGGTAGGATAGTTTTACGAAAAATGTAAATATTATTAAATGTTTATAAATTATTAATTTTTAGCGATACTACACAAAACAGTGTAGGAAAATTCGAAAGACGACGATGTTAATGTGCTAAATACTAATAAATAAAAGCTCAAAATGACGAATAATTATAATTAAAAGAAAAATTATTGTAAATAATAATTATATGTCACCAAAATCATGTTAATATTATAAATAATAAATTATGTTACTTTAACAATTAATTCTACGTTAAATACGAATTTTTTTTATTTCTATATAGATTTTCCACAATTTCTGTTTATATATTCATTAGAATATTATGATGTAAAAGAGAAAAACTATAAATTATATAAGATCTTGTTTTTATTCATTTAATTTTTTTTTTTTTTTTTTTTTATTTTTGTTGGTATTTGACAATTACTTCTTTGACATCACTAATGATCGATTGTTTAACATTTTTTCTGGTGTACAGCTCTGTCGATTATGGAATCTCATATCATTCGTCGAAGAAATTCTTACGGTTCTCAATTCTGTAAAAAGTTAAGTATTCAATGTTTCAATTAATTATCGGACCAACATTCAATGATAATATATAATTTAATTGAGTTGTATATATTTCTTAAAACCTTGCTTATTTGAAATAAGTCCTTTATTTTTATACGTTGCAATATCATTCTTATTCCAATTTCGTTTTGTTGCATCCTCGATGAGTTTGTTTTCGTAAGTATTGGTAGAGCACAGTGGCGTCTTGCAAATTCTGTGGTGCAATTCTTGTAATTCATTTGGTTTCAGAGACTGAAATACAATTGAAATGTATTATAATAGGAAAGTTAAAGCCGTATTATCATTATTATTATTCTAATGTGCGGTAACATTATAATGATTTGTGTCTTATCTAAATATAGAATATAGAAAATATATCGTATGTAGACAAAAATGGTTTTTTTTTTGTTTTTTTTTTTGTTTTTGTTTTTTTGTTTTTGTTACTTTTAATCCGAATGTCTACTGTCCGAATGTTTAATCCTAATTAATTACATTGATACGTAAAACTCCAAATTAACAACGAATGATTTTTTTTGTTTTTTTTTTTTTTTGTTTCTGTTTAAATAAATTGCATTTGAGCTTATATGTATTATCAGTTATCTAAATGTTCGTAAACTTTAAGTTTACAATGTTTGAGTAATTGTAGATTTACTTGAAGCCAAGTTGGAGAAGTAAATGTTTTGCCGTCCTTCATCATCTCCATGTACTTGGTTTCTAAATGCCTCGTGCTATCGTTGTGGTTTTTGTGTAACTCAATCTCAATATGATTATACTGCTTTTGCATTTCAGCAAGCTTATCTTCGTGCTTCATTAATGTTTGCTGAAATTTAATATTTGCATTGTATATAGTTTTTATCATTCAACTGTCTTTTTTTTTTTTTTTTTCTTTCTCTTGTTTTCTTTTTGCTATGTCAATGAACCTACTTTCAGTTCGTTTTCAAGTTTCATTTTCTGATTAGAAAGTGTTTCGATCTGTTTTACGTACAAAGTATTATCCATTCCGTTACTCGTTTTCAGTTGATTTAATCGATTACTTAACATCTCGATACTTTTATTTTTATCGTCGATCTCTTTGGCTTTCATTAATAAGTCTTTTTGCTGATTGTCAATCTGTAATGCAATGGAATATTGAGTTGAAATATCCGCGTTCAATGTAATGTAACTTTTTAAGATTTTTTTCGGCCGTTGTTGTAAAAATGGTGTAAAGTTAGATGTCAAGTATATTTAGAAGTCTGAGTCAAGTATATTTAGAACATCATTTGTTTATTTACGTATTTATTTACGTACAAACAGTTGATTATTGAGTTAGATATAAATAAATTATTAGTATTAATCTATCGCAGAGTTTAAGAATGTTTGTATTTCATGATTAAACATTTACGTAATATATATATATATATATATATATATATATATATATATATATATATATATGTAATGTAATAGAGTGATAGAATGTTGGTATATAAAATTATGGCTACGCGTATGCTCTACCTTATCTTTTTGAGATTTAATTTCTTTTTTCATTTCTCGAATTGCCGCATCAGTATTCGGACACTTTTGAATCTGCTTAGACTGTTGTTTAGATATTTTTTCAACTTTTTCAAGTAATTCGTTACACTTGACGCCAAGGTTTATATTAGGACATTCTTGCTTATCGATTTTCGAGACCAGATCCTCATTTTCATTTTTCATATAATTTATACAGACCTCCAAATACTGGTTATCCTGGAGCATTTTGTTCAAATTACTTTCCATACTGAGGTCGCTCCTCTCTAAATTCAACAGCTGCGAATGAAGATTAGCGTTTTTCTCCATCAAGTCATTTTTATATTTAATCAACTCCTTAATTTCATTTTGGTTGATAATTATCTTGTTGATATCAATATTATTTTTTTGCATAATTATGGCCTGCAATTTTTGAATCATCTCGTCGAAATTCTTTAATTTCACCGTTAATATCTCATTCATCGCTTCGTATTCGCAAAGCTTCGTCTTATTAATTTCTAATTCCTCTTTGAGGTTTCCGATCAAACTATCGTTGGCCTTGGTCATGTTCACGACTTCGGTAACGCTTTGTTGAAATTTAAATTCAGCATCAACTATTTGATTCTGCAAAATCTCCTTTTCCTTTTGATAACATTCGAAACTGTATGCAATATTAATATACGTTAATAATTTTATGAAATGTACGATTTAAGGAAATAACGAATGCTGTTATAAATATAAATGAGAACCTGGATTGCATTTTTGTATTGAGAGATAACAAATCGTTCGATTTTTCGTTCAATGATTGTTCTAATTTTTCTATTTCTCGAGCAACTTCTTTACATTGTTTTTGCGAATCGTCGTACTGTTTTTGCAAATTATTTTTATCCGCGATTGTTTTATTATGAGACTTTAAGGTCGTCTGCAATTGATCCTTTAATTCCTTATATTTCACCTTAAATTCCGACTCTAGTATAGGAAATTCAAGAATTCTTAATTATTCCGACGCTACGGTTAGTTGTATAATATTGAATAATATGCAGCCCGACATTACAAAGTTAATTGTACTAATTGTTGTTAACTTTAAAGGCCGTATGGTGAATTTTTATTTAATTATTATCGCTTATTTACCATCGCGCGCAATGTTCATTATTCTCAAAATGAATTCCTTACAATTTTGTATATTATCTACTATTTTTGTCGATAGGCCACCTTTAATTAGAACTTCATTATGATGGGACTTTTCAGACTTTGTTGCTTCTTTTTGTTTTGCATTTTCAGATATGGCCCCCGAATTACAATCCCCTTGACCTGAAAGTTTTGTTAAACAATATTATTTATTACGTTTACGACAGAAATGTTGAATTTCCTTATTAGCGCGAAAACGAATTTGCTTCGCCTAATGATGTACAGCCCTATGATACATTATGATTATATTAATTACACATTAGCATAATAAAAAATTACATCTGTTGTTTGTCAATTATTATTAAGAATTATTAACGTAATTAGTAACGTAATTGTGATGAACAATTAACGTAATTGTGATTAACATTAATTTCAAATATTTTTATATGACTACATTTTAAATAAGTATTCATGACGTGTACATGACCTTTTATAAGCCATGTAATTAACGATAACTAAAAAAAATTTTTATGTTATTTATTTCTGTTGTTCTAAATATAATAAATATTTGAATATTTAAATATTTGAGTGATTTATTTTACTAAATTCTTTTTTTTTTTCTATTTTACTAAATAAATAAACTAAACAATTTTACTAAATAAAACTTTACTAAATTCCCATTATATTTCTCAAAGCCTGAATCACTTGACGAAATACCTACGCGAGAATCTACATACGGCTTTATATAAATATTATTATATAAATTTATTATTTATTGCATGTGCCTTTATAATATTCAATTATTAAACCTTTGAGTGTGATTTCCACGTCCGATAAGGCTTTCTGCATTTTTTCGAACTCCGGTAGTAGCAAATTCTCGAATTTTTTATAGTCCATAGAATCGTTTGATTTCTTATCGGCGTTATCGGGTTCAACGTCTGCATTAGTTTTTTCAGATTTTTCATTTTTATTCGTATTAAGTAACAACGTCAAAGTCTCGAATATTTTCTTTGTTTCTGACTGGAATGAATAAATGCGAGCGAAAATTACGTGGTTTGCTTAAGAGGTAAACGTAAGTATAACAGACGGTCGATCACATCTTTAGGCTCATTAATTTGGAAAATGTTATCGATATTCGAAATATAATAATTAGCCGTGAATTATTTATGAAAGAGAGAGAGAGAGATAGAGATAGAGAGAGATAGATAGAGAGAGAGAGAGAGAGAGAGAGAGAGAGAGAGAGAAGAAAAAAAGAAAAACCGTTGCCAAAGATTTAGGGCATATGATCAAGTTAAATTTCTATTGTATTAATGAAAATCTTTATGGCATTATGATACTATTATACATATCATTACAATTATGAATAATCATTTATTAAATAATTATATATGAATTAGCGAGCGAATCATTGACGATAAAATTATATATATGAAATATCGAGGTATTTAACTTTGTATCCTTACATCTCATCTTGTACGAGATATTATTAAACGACATTCTATTACCTAAAAAATTATTACATCCCTTCATATCAGGCGAATATTATACATTTTTAATAAATTCTTGAGTTTTTACGTTCGAGGCACTTTCTAGTCAGACTTAATTAAAACTCATGACCGTTTTAAAGATTGTAAAACAGTCGTTGGCCCAAATTCATTAATAAATGCAAAATTATTATTTCAAGTTTGCGCGACATTTCAACTTCAAGTATTCATAATCTATGATGAGATGAAATTAAAATTCAGGATGAAACGGCGAGGATTAGCGATCACTGATACATGAAATTATTGGTAACGATGAAGCACGAAATGCTGTGCGAATATCAAATGGATAAAATTTAAGATAAACAATTAGAAAATATAGGAAATGTGTGAAATGTAAAAATAATTTCAACATGCACACTGCTTTAAAATTTATGTTTTCTAGACGTTTCGCGTATAATAAGAATCACTTTACCTTCAATTTCAATATACTTCCGGAATTTTCGATTATTTCCTTCATTCTAGTGATCTCTTCGTGCAAATCGAGTTTAATCTTCGAAATACCTATAATTGTTTGAAGCCATTATTGATTTTATAACTTTTAGCATTGATATTTATTTGCAAACTGCATAAATTGTAAATCCAACATTAAAGCACATCGATACTCGGCTAATCGACGCAACTCTTTGGCAAATAATATCATCGTATCAAAATAATTCCTGACGAACGTTGCACGCGTCGAATAGCGTTCAGCGCCATAATATGTATTTAAGCGAAAGAGCATCGATAAATAGCCAGTTGAAACAAGTAAAAAGCGTGGAACGAGGGACGAATGCCCATTACGGTGCTTCACACCTGCATTTGCCCGATTAATGGCGGCGAGCCGTTCAATCTCGTTGAGCAGCTCGATACGGTTCTCACGACACTTCTCGTGCTCGCGCACGATCTTGGCGAAGCCCCGGCTGAGCTCTATCGCCTTGGTCTCGTCCCACATGCTCTTCTCGAGGTAGCCGATGTCGCAGCTCTCGGTGGGTCCGAGGCACTCGGCCAGATCGACGATCAGCTTGCCGACCTCGCGCTCCATCGACGTCAATTGCTCGCGACACTCCAGCATCTTGCTCTCGTTTACCTCGACTTCGGCTTTCGTGAGCATAAGTTCCGCCTGCGGACGATGATTGGGGCAGGGATCAATTGTTTAAAGAATAAGAGTCGAGGGCATGATCGTCCCCACCCCTCCCGCCGTGTACCTTTGATTTGTCGTATTTCTTGTTGAGACGTTGAATAATGTTTAACAGTCTCTCGATTTCGCTCTCCTTCTCGTTCTGCTTTTCGAGGTTGGCGTAGTCTTGGTGCAATTTCTTAATCATAGTCGTCTGCGTCATGTTTTTGCTTTCGAGAATCTCCAAGCGCTGCTTCATCATTTTCAACTTATCCTACAGTTCAAATGATAATGCAACTTTTGCTTTCTTTCGTTTTTTTTTTTTTTTTTTGTTTTGTTTTTTGTTTTGTTTATGTCTATTTAATTAAGAGCATTTATGGTTTGATAGCGCAATATATACAATGTTTACTACTGTAATATGCAAATATTGTCTAGTTTATTTGAATGATATTGATAATTGAATAAGCTTAAGTACACTTTTGAATTACGGCGGCAATACTTGAAGATTATTGGGTGCAAATAATACGTTTTTGAATAAATAGAGGTAAACGTTAAAGAGTGAAACATTGCTCTATACTATACAAAATATTCGTGTTCTTAAATAAATTATGATTCACCGTGATTGTTTTATTATTATTATTTTATTTTAACACGAGTTCATTTATTTACTATTTACAAATACCAAAAAAAAAAAAAAAAAAAAAAAAAAAAAAAAAAAA